TCTCCACCAGTAAATATTAATGGATTAATAGTTCATTTATTTATAAACCAATTTCAGATTTCTATGCTAAAGTTAGTTATGTAATATTTGTTCAAAGATGTTTATTCGAAATAAGTACCTTGCTGAAAACATTTCGAGCCATCACTAAACTGCCACTAATGAACATGATCAATATTTTCCAGTGGTTTTAATTGATAAAATTTAACAGAGATCAAAGGTAATGTTTACTACACACTACAAAAAGGAAGTAAATTATGACATCAGCAAACCATTGGACTAGCAGTAAGGTACATATCACAGTTAACTGATATCGCCATTCCTTGGTCCAGAAAACAAAATTGAAGTCGTGAAACACTCTCATCCAGTGGTGATATCATCATATGATCTAGCTCCAAAGAGAAAAAACATTTTTGAGGTGAAGGCAGCAATTTTAAATCTAGAACAGTGAAGGGGGTAAAGCAAGACAGGGGTACCCACATAACACATAAGTCCATGTCATGTACAATGCCTAGATGAATACACATACCTCCAGATGAATTGGCCATTGGATCTGTTCAGCACCACGTCCCATCAATCGCACTCCATCTTCAATCTGTTTCCCTATTGCCCCTGTATCCTATGGTAACAATAATTACCAGAATGAACAAAAGTTGACGTAGGAAATACTGCAATAGGCTGAGAAGAAATTTACTGAACCTTGAGCGTTTTCATTGTCATCAACTCAGACGAATAAATCTTTCCTGCGTTTATAAGTGTGGCAATTTTTCCCAATCCTACAGGCTGCCACGAAGACATGTACACAGGTCAGAAAATAAATTGGAGTAAAGGTGATATTTAATAGCCCCCAGAAATATAAAAAAAAGGCTCAAACAGATTAAAAGTCAATTAAAAGGAAGGATAAAATCAGTTTGCTATGTATAACCAAAACAATCCGCCAAAGAAAATATATAACCAAAACATACGACGCATAATGGTTTCACGCATTGAGGAACCCTTATGCATGTATGTATGTACATATAACAGAAAACACTATTCAAGCATAGATTCATAAAAATATCAGGGTATCATGCAACTCAAGACCTAGTTCATTTCCCCAATATTTTAGCAATGAATCAGAGCAAACTCCAAGGATTAAAAAAGCATAGAGACTCAAGAACCGCCAAGTCCTTTCTACAAGAACTGAATTATTTCCCACAACTTGATCTCTGCATTGCAAACCAAGTTAGGTTGGAAGTCGGAACATAAACTTTATCCATCCACCAGGTTGCAAACCAAGTTGCAATAACACTCGGTAATTGTTTCTTTAACCATTTTGATTATGTTCTAGGAAATATTTAAACAGAAATATCTTGACATAGTAAGATAATCTATAACTCAGAGAGTAGAAACCCTGAAATATTTGAGGAATTTCAATCCCCAGACAGACTAAGACTATCTCCACTTTCTATTATAAAGCTTACTTCATTACTTTAGTGTGCAGGATATGACAGTTCTATAAAGCGAAGCCTATTAGAAAAGGGAATACACGAATGAAAAACTGATCTCGGTGCTACAAAGTCCCAATATAGACTCACTGATTTGAGGCATAAAACAGTTTCTCTAGCATGCATTATGTTGGTGGCAATTTCTTTACATTTTTCTTTTTTGGGAGTCTTTACTTGCAATTAGAATTTAGAACTTACCCAAGAGGTTGTATGGTTACCAAAAATTTTCATGATCTGCAAAAGTGATAAGTTTGTTTGTACACACATAAGAGACTAAATTGCCGATTTGTCTCTTGTATTATCATCTAAGTGAAGTTTAATTTTATAAATTATTTTTTTCCTTCAGAAATATAATTATGCTTTTATGTTAGTTTGGTAGTCATTCCATCTAATTATTCGTCTAATTTAAGTTACTTTATTTGCATGTGCTATAATTTAGAGGAAATACCGCCATTTCCTCAACCTTGAATTCTTAAATAAATTTTAATTACACCTACACGTTACATGCCTAATAAAAAAAATAAGAGCCGCAAGTTGAAACATACAACATGAGACACCTCATGTATATGTAAAGAAAAGCACCAATGATGGTAGTATTAGTTGGTGTAATAAGATTCATGGGCTCTTATACCACACAACATCACGAAAACATAAAATAAAAAAAATAAAAGAAGAAAAAGGGAGGATGGAATTGAAAGACAGTTAAACGGTTATGACCCTTCTATAAGAATTAGAGATATTTTCAACAAGTTGACACCATAACCAGTAACCACTATCTATATAACTTGTATTTGAGCTACTGTTTGAATATCGAATGTGAAGATAGAAAGCTCAAAGTAAACTTCCGAATAGCATCACCAATAGATTATTAGATTTTGCTTGGAAGCTAGATACCATATCATATCCACACATTAAAGCTCACATGCACCATCAATAGTTAACTCTAACGAATACCTAGAAACAAAGAAAGATAAGATTCCCACACCATAACCAGTAACCATTATCAAATCACGTCTTAGAGTTCTTACTGATAGAATACATAATTTACATAAAACACATCCCTATATAATTCACTTCGGAAGATCCGTACTTCAGATTTCCAAATCCAAATCCGTAACTTCCAAATGTCCACATTAAGCTTCTCGAATAACATCCTAAAGTTTCAAAACGATCCAACGGTCTGATTTCCGCCAATTGCCAAAATTAAGTGGTAGCCGACATTTTATTTTACAAACTTACAAATCCCATTTGGGAAGATCCGTCAATTCCTAATATCCTTAAATAATACGTACTATCAAGTACTAAGGTTTGGTGACGATCCAACGGTCGAATCGTCAATTCATGCAAGAACCCCGTGACGGCCAACTAGGTGGTCAACTACAAAACTACATTAAAACATCATAATTTCACTAAACAGATGCCAATTATGAAACCAGAGCATCCAAATTAGCCTAGGAAGGACAGGTGGGGTCTTGGCCCATGTGTCGCCACACGCGCCGCCGCGCATGGTGGTCGGCCGCCACGGTTTGCCGGAAAATTCTACTATTTCTAAAAGTTCTCAAATTTCACAAAAATGAAGATCTCAAAGAGGGGAACAACTTCTTACCTGCCACAAAGTCCAAAAGTGGACGGAAGATGGTCAATTTCTCCCACAAAGCCGATGGATGCCTAAAGCTTCCCAATGTCAATTCGTCGTCTACGGTGGTCCAATGAGGTCAAGGTTGGTCAGGATTTGCTCCTAGGATGATGGGCTACAAAGCCCAAGTGGTGGCATCGGCCATCACTTTGCCGATTTGCTGAAAAATTAAAAAGAGTGGTCGGAGCACTGTTGATTTTTGTCGACTTTCGTGGCCTCAAACCGCCATATACCGTGGTTAATCAAGGTGGTTCTTGGGTGAGTTTTGTAGAGGGGAATGAGATCTTCAAGATGGTGGTGGTGGCATCGAAAATATCCACCGGAGTTAGCTGGAATTAGCCTTGGAAAATGGGAGGTCGCGGAGGTGTGGGTGACAGGGAAGCTAGGAGCTTTCTCCTTTCTCTCTCTCTTTCTCTGATTGGCTGAAGGCTTTCCTTCCTTTTATGTGATTGGTCCTGTGATTGGTCCTTTGTGCCTAAAATCTAATTGGGCTTCTTCCTTGAAGGAGTTAAATTAAATTACCAACTGAAATACTTCTTCTTCTTCTTCTTCTCTCTCTCTAATTGGCTGAAGGCTTTCCTTCCTTTTATGTGATTGGTCCTTTGTGCCTAAAATCTAATTGGGCTTCTTCCTTGAAGGAGTTAAATTAAATTACCAACTGAAATATAAATAACCAAATTCAAACATCCGTAACTATATCGTTATAATCCGGACTTGCGAATGGCTTTCGCCTATGCGTTTGTACAACGAGTATTACACAAATACGCCAAAAGAATAAGTCATACATTCCTCTAGACGATGGTCAAAGAAAGTCAAAACCTTCACCTCTAGGGCATTGGGCATAAATTCATTCTTTTAAAATTTATAAAATCGTAGAACTAAGGATGAGTTGTCACACTAAATCCCATGTCTTCTCTGATCCACTCTTCCCTCTTCACCTCCCCGACCCACTTCATCTTCCCCACCTGAGCACCCCCTTCTCCCATCCCCCATCATCACCCACCCCTTGCCCACCCAAGCCACCCGTTCTCCAATCACCAACCCCGTCTATCAACCCCTGGATCTTCTCTGCCTTCACCTTTGACAACACACTATAGCCACCACGAAGCCTTGAGCTTCAGCAATCCCTGAGTTTAACACACTGCAGCCACCACCAGCAGAAGATGAACACGAACCCATAAACCCAGAAAAAGCAACTGTCGGGCTCGTGCAGGGATGGAGTCGAGGTGGGAGTTGAGGAGGATGAAGGGGAGAGAAGGTTGGACATGGTGGCGGTGGATAGCATCGGAGGTGGAGGGGTTTGGGCTTGGTGAAGGTGAGGGGTTTGGGAGGGGAGGGAGAAGATGGGTTTTTGCATTCTGGGTTTATTTTTATTTTATTTTAATTGTTATTATTTTTTTAATAATTTAAATAGGATAAATATTATTATATTTTTAATGCATAAATTTTTTTTTTTTTTTTTAACCACATGACACAAATTTAGCAACCACGTCAGTACAAATGTAGATACCATATTTCCCACGTCATCACTTAGCGGTTTACTTAATAATTTTTTAACGGATATATGAAATTAAAATGTTTTAAAGAATTGAGATCGACCTCAAATCTGAGGGGGTAAAACGCAATTTACCCATAAGTTTATTTGCGATATTCTCAACGGAAGGGGATTGATATGTATACACATACCAACGAAATGTCCCAATCTGTATTTCTAAATAAATTTGACATCCACAAGAGATGGGCCACGACACAAGTTGGGAGGCAGTTGAGGCCTCTCTCGTGATTTAGTGCTCACTAGAAATTTAGCCCGCGCGATGCCGCGGGAATGCCAAATTAATTATAAGCGTTGTACGTGTTAGAATGAAGAACTAAATGTGTTGTAAACATGTAAAAAGTACTTATACAAAACAAGTACAAAGCATTCATAAAATGTATATAATAGTTGTTGACAACTCTACATACATAACTAGTTGTTCAAAATATAGCTGCTCCTATTTGATCGATGTACAAATTGATGTTACCACGAAACTTATAATAAAAAAATGGAGGGAAGGAAAGAGGAAGATGGAGCTTTACAGGCGTGCAAACCCATTGTAAGCTTGGTGTGGCGTGCAAACTCATCGGAAGATAGCTGTAAGCCTGCAATACTTTAGCAAATAAATTGATAATGCTTGTGCTCTGCTCTATTCTGTTCTTTCCCAAGTTGATCCTACAAACAAAAGCAGAGACAAAACTTAAAAACCGATGCCAATCAATGAAAGCTAAATAATCCCCATCCTAAATCTTTTACAAAACAAAGCAATAAGAAAATTTCAACACTAAATGGTTTTTCATACAAAAAACGAAACAATGAAATAAATTTCCACATTAGGCTTATTTCAGATATTTAACATCTTACTTTGAAATTTCTCCCACGGAATGAGACTACAGTGTTCATTGACGACCCTTGTAAACAAAAGGTGGACAACTCTTTGACCATGTCATTTGACAGTTACAAAAGCTTACTTTCCATGGGCTTGTAACTTACAAATTCCAAACTCAATGTATCATTTGTGTGTCCTCAGCTTTCATTGTGTAATCACTTTTACGATTGAAACATTAACCAAATCCAAACAAACAAAAATGTGACTCTATGGCTTTCTTATAACACAAAAATATCCCTAATTAGAGCATGCCACACACCAACACATTGCTATTATATAAAATATTTTTCTTAGTGGCAAGTATTATACTCTCCTTTGGCCAAGTGGATATGAAATTGGTTGAGTATACTGTTCTAGCCAATTGGATCAATAAGCTCAAGTTTGCACTGTGCAAAACCATAAGTACTCAAGACATGAAATCAAATCCTGCACTCTACAAATCACATATGGGCAAAATAATAGCTCTGAAGAAACTGAAAGAAGTAGAATGCTTTAGAACATAAATATACCTGAGGTGCCAAAATATGGTGCTGAGGAAGTGTTTTCTTCTTATTTTGAGGGAAGAAGAACGCAGCTCTGAATTTGGACCCATTTTCTTCACCCATGGTTCCTATAACCCATAAATAATTTTAGTGTCGTTCAAATAACAAATACCCCAGATGAATTGAAAAACTGCAGAGATTAGTTTCATGAATACATAGTGAAGCCGAAAGCCATAGTTAATCTAAAAAGAGGCAAAGACATACATACCAATCCTCCGAATGTTCTCTGCATGATGTTCTGCTTCAAGAATGTACGACAGCTTCCCCTGTGGTACAAACTCCCACCCAAAGCACATGCTACTGTGCTCTTCCTTGAACAAACAAAATAAATTATATGCAAGTAATGAGCCACTTTCTTTCGGCATCATAATTAATCTTTAGTGTCATTCAATAATATACTACCACCGTGTTGACACATGTCAGAATCTAAATTACATCTGCTCTTATAAAAAAATGTTTATAACATAAATATCAATGTCTGCTTACAATTTTTAAAGGGATTAGTGGGGATAAGATTAGGGATACACTTTAGACATCAACCCCTTATGGATAGCCCTTCTTAATCCTTCAAGTGTAGTCTAGTCCTTCATATTAAGCATGGCCTAAATGCTGTAACAATCCGAGATAACTTGTATGGAAATGAACTGACAATGAAGGTGGGTTTTTGTCTTTTGGGTGATCTCATGATGCAAACATATACTGCAGGATAGGTAGCTAAAGCTATTTATGCTTCGTTCACTTTTTAGTATCTATTTGTAAAGTGCGAAGTTCTTACCTCAAAGTTTGCCTTATATGTGACAGCTTTCTCCATGTTTGAAAGTTGAACCACTAAAATCAGAATCCCTCATATCTGCTGATGTTAAATTGACTCTTCTGCATCAGTCCGTTACATTGATGTGAAAATGCAGATACTAATGACAAAATTAGTCTTGCTCTTTTTAAATCAAATACATTAGCTTTAGCAGGTCGTTCATTGTGGAGGGTAGCTGACAAATGCAACAAAGAAAAACTACAATTTGGGGGAAAAAAAACATAACAAAAACCAAAATTTTGAGGAAAGAAAAATTGAAGTTTTTTTCTTATGTGAGGAACCAGACCAGTATTTTATTCAATCAAGAGTTTTTCTCTGAGCTAAAAGTTGGGACTCCCACTTTTCAACTGAGAATGAAATAACAGAGAAAACGCACAAAATAAAAGGCCGAATTTCCAAATTATTTTAAAAAAAAATTAAAAAATTAATTTGAATCAAATTGAAGAAAATAGGTCAAATTAAGTAAATCACAGTAAGTGGAAAAGGATATGGTGAGTGATTTTTACCTTGAAAACTCACATAGTTTGGAATGGATCATCAACAATCTCTGGAGACTCCACTGGATCCACTATGATATCATCCTCCATGGTTATGATTCAATTTCATTTAAGCAAATCATCAAACACTTGGTGTCCAAAAAAAAATATGAATTTCATTTCAGAAGCAAAACACTTGGTGTGCATAAATAAATTGACACAATAATCTGAACAACCACTACAAATGGCAATGCCATTACAAAATAACGCAATTTTCTTTGGATCAAGAACTTAAAACAAAAAGCAATTTCATATTGTTCAACAAAAATCAGAAACCAATAATTCACACACATTCACAGATCTTCATAACAATTGGACAACTACAAATTAAACTAAGCAAATAAAAAATTTCTTGGAATTCAATCGAAATCAGCAGAAGATAAAAATTACGCAAAAGAAATGCACAATCTTGGCATTGGAATTGAAGTACCTGAAGTAGTGTAACTGGCCCGGCATCCACCATTTCAAAGTCCCCAAATCGGCTTTGAACTGCAAAACCCAAATCGAACAAAAACTAAGCAGAATGAGTAGGATTTAAAATGTTGAAAACAGCAAATGACAGAAGGTGGACCAGTAGCCCTACTATATTACCCTCAACATACGACATTGGATACAGCAATGCATTGGTGGAATGATCCAAATTTACCACAACGACTTTCCTGCACACCAAAACAACAAATTGCCACTGTAAATATTTCACACAGATTCAAAAACCAAAATTGAAGTCATGGAAAAACTTGAAAACCCGGAATTCAGAGTAAAATTTTTACCTTCCGATGAGCTGGAGGAACTCAGACATGCCATTGCAATAAGTAGTCTTTCCTAACCCAGGCGGGCCGATCACCACTTGCCTAAAAACCATTTTTGAGTTTTAACATCGAGCAGTAATAAACCCAACAAAGAAATCAGTCAGGTAAAACTAACATCTCAATTCAATTTTTCAATTGATTATTTAATTATGTAAATCTCACCTTCAATTGTTTTAAAATCACAAAAGCTGTTAACTATGTCATCTGATAATCAATAAATTTAAGAAAATTTAAAATGAACTCGATTCACTCCAAATGCTGATATTATATGTTCATATATATATATATATATATATATATATATATTCACAACAACAAAAAATTCTGTTTTGAGTCCCTAGGATCAAAATAAAAACAAAAAACACTAATTCCAGTGCCTAGATATATAAACATCGCATAAAACACTCATTTGCAAATGAGGGGCAAACTCATATAAAGCTATACGTTTATATGCGTAGCAAATAAGCAGTACAGATGCAGGCACATCTATAAAGCTAAATTACAGATCGATTTCATAAGCATATTTTGCTCAAGCTTTTATAAAGGAAGACATGCAAAATCATACAGAAACATCCATTAGTAAACTGGACAATTTCAATATATATGGAAGCATGCATGAAATCACAGAGAGAAAATAATAATACAACTTTACCTTTGAAGTGTTATTGCGTCAGGATTTGGGATGGAGATCCGACATGCACACATTTGGGATGAGAGAAATGGGGATTAAACCCAGAAGGTGGGATTTTCCGAAGAGCAAGGAAGAAGAAGAAGAGAGAAAGAGGGGGTGGGGGGGGGGGTTTAAATGGGGAGAAGAAGAGAAGCGAGCTTCCCTCCCTAGTTGAGGTTCAAGCCCGTGGGAGGGGAGTTGCAGAGAAACTCTGTTCAGCTAGTACTAATTCAATTTACAGAAAAGGGGATTAGGGTTTTTTGGAATCGGAACGGATAGACAGCATATGTTCTGGTTCGTGCAAAATCGGGAGAGAGAACTGGAGTTCGTGTAGCAAATGGAGGACTACCGGAAGCAAATGAAAAGCCGGGCTTTGTGAGAGAAAGAAGTGGAAACGGAAGGAAAATTCGAGATGTAGTGGAAGTGGAGCAGTCGACGATGATCGACGTATGGGCAGCATGGACAAGTACGTAAATTCACTGTGTCAAGGAAGAAAAAGAACAGGAAACAGAGAAGAAAATAAGGGCATTTCCGTCATTTCACTAGTATAAGTATTATTTCATCAGCTTCTTTGTTTCCTTTTACTTGTTCAACACTTAAATCCAACAAAGTTATTTTAATTAATTGAAATGGACATACTCTCCCCAGAATCGATTGTTGGAAATGTGCCCTAAAACCAATCATATGATGATACTTTATGGACATTTCACATGTTAAACTAATCTAGTTTAATATTAAGGGCAAACATTATTGTTTGAGCCGTTTCATATAAATGTTATATGCTTAAACGATAAGTCCAAGGAATATGTGATTGGGAGAATGCGATCTAAAGAAGTTAGATTCATGAGACCATTTTTTCGTAGACACATCCTAAACGTTCCTGATCATAGGATTGCCAATTGGGCATTGACAGTCCGTTAAGATCAATACGTGCTATGTCTTCTCTCAGGGAGAGTGACTAGTCTCGAGTCATTAGTGTGAATGACACCAAGACAAGCATGTAGGTGCTCAATAGAGAATGAGTTCACTGAACACGATCAACGAGGAGTTCTCATATTCATGTCACATGAGAACTCATGGTTGAGATAATGCAAAGTAGTCCTTTGACCTGAGGCATCACAGCTGTCTTGTGGTTAGGTACTTGATCTTTGATTATGTCAAAGTCACTCTATCAAGGTGTCCACGGCATCGTCGGGGTTAAGCCACTTAGCCATGGAGGCAAGTAAATGCGCAACAAGGGATCTCTAACCTTCAAACTGTTTGAGGGAGAATACTCTATGATATGATTTAGAATCTCTGGCCAGAGTATGAATGAGATGTTGGAATGCGTTCCAGATCACATTCAAGGTAATCATATAAGTACAAGATTCACATTGGATAGTAGACATGAATAAACTATCAAACCAAACAATGTGGTCAAGAGTATTGTATTAGAGAAAGACCGTATTGCATTTGTAATCCTAAAACTGAATAGGTTCTCCACCTCTTCTGATTAGCTTGGGTAACCATGACATGCTGCTAGGCGTCAACCATGGTTTGTGGAAGCCCTAAAAGTGTATTAACACTAACGGGAGAATTGAAAGTAAGTTTCAATTCACAATCGATTAAAAAGAGTTTTTAATCGCCCACTGCCTCGCTAAAAAGAACCTAATGGATCGTTCACCGAGTAAGGTAGAGTTTGAAGAAACAACGGAGATGAGTAAGAATAATTAAATGGTTTAATTATTTATCTAAGGCTAGGATTAATTAATATGTTAATTAATCAAACGAATAAGTTCGTTAAAGACCTCGGGTTAGTTTTGGGCCGCAAGGCCCAATGAGATTTGAATGTCAAGCCCATTAACTCAAGTTGTATGACAACTTGAATAAACAAAGGGCTTGAAAGCCCAATGAACCCTATAGGCCGGCCATGATAGAAGAATAGGGTTTTTGGTCCATTAGGTCACTTATTTGAAGGGACTATATAAAGGACTTTATAGCCTAAAATTTACAAGGGGTAATTTTTGGGGAAAGGATGAGAACACAAGCTCTCCTTTCTCTCTAAAATTTCGGCCACCTTGGAGGGATCATCTAGCAATCAAACTCCTCCAAGGTCACTCATTTCTTCTTCATTATGCCTTGGTGATGAATCATTAGAGGTTCTCAATTTTGGGAACTTGGAGAAACCTTTTCATCCATCCAAATCCATGGATCTAAGATGCAAGGAATGAAGGCCCTCTCTTTGGGTGATTAGCCTTTGCTTATGCAAAGAGGAATCTACAAAGGTATTAATTTCTCAACTCACTTTGTTTTTGAGTTGAGTCTTGGTTCACCTATCTACTAGGCTTTGAAGTTCATGGGTTAAGTTTTGTTTTTGAGTGCATATAAACATGATTCCGCCTTTTAATTGTTAATTGCATGTTGTTGATGTTGCTCAAATGAACTTGTTTTTCACAAATTTTCCTTCAAGTGGTATCAAGAGCCTAAGTCTAGTAGTTGGTGAATCCTTTTGGGTTTTGTAGTTCATAGTTTGTGATTTGAATGTTGTAATTGTTACAAGCTTTATTCTTGCTTCTTTGAATGTAAATTTTGTTAGAAAATTTGCCATCTCAAATGTTGTAGATGTAGTTCATATGAGCATGAATTTTGGAGCTAAAATTTGGTGCCATGTTTTTGGGGAAATTCGGCCAAATCCAAAGGGTGGATTTTTGGGTTCTTGTTTGACTTGTTAAAAGTGTTTTAAAGTGACTTTTGGAACCCCTATGTACCCTAGTATGGTTGTATGTTATTTCCCTTAAGTTTGAGTGGTTTTGGTTTGTTTTTGGGTGAAGAATGTTCATGGAGCTCTTATGGGTTTTCATGGATGTTCTTCATTGTTCTTGATATGTTCTTGCCAAGAACAAAAGGTTTGGTGTTTTGATTCAAAGTTTTGATTTATTTCATAAAGTTTTTGTTTTGAAATATTTCTTATGTTTAAATATATTAGATATTTATTTTGAAAAATTAAAGAAATTTTAGTGGGTAGGTGTGTAATGATTTATTCCATTTCACACACCCCACTTACAAAAACTTTGAAATTTTTTTTTAATACTTTGCTTCAATGGCCGGCCACCCTACTCAATTAGGGTCCTTGTGGGGCTTTTATGCAATTACATAAAGTTTTGATACTTTTGTGTATTTGTACTTTGACCCAAAAGTTTACGTTTTTACGTAAAGGTCCAAAATCACTAAAAGGACAAATTGTTTTGCTCCTTTAATGAAGTTTTAGCTTCTGTGGAAATTTTTGGGTTCTAGTTGTAATTACATGAAGTAGTGAACTTTTGTGTTTTTACAAAGTGACCCCAAAAGGTCTAAGTTTTGCAAAATGGCCCAAAAGTTGAGGTCATAGCATTTTGGCCCAAATTAGGTAGAGAACAAAATTGTTTTGTCTCTTTAAATGAGAATTGGATTTTCATTTTATTTAGCTCCATTTAAATCAATTCTATGGATACAAAAACCAAATGAAAATGTTGCATTCAAGATTAATTAGTTAAAGCGTTAATTAATTAAAGAAAAGGTGATTATGAACCTAAGCCTACTATAATTGAGCTATGTGAAAGGCCGTTTCAAATTTGTTTGAACCATGGGAATGTGTAGATTAAATTTTGGTTGTAATTTGATATGATCAATTGTTGTAAAAGAGCATAAGCTCTTCTTTACTTTAAAGTAATTTGATTTGATCAATTGTTGTAAAAGAGCATAAGCTCTTATTTACTTTGAAGTACTCCTTTCTTGTTTTATTCGATATGCATGAAATTGGAGTAGTTGGGTCCAACGCCCAATAATACAACACGCCTTAATGTGATTAAACGCGTAACTAAAATCAATCACCATCCCTAGACCGAGATTCAACACAAGGCTCGTGTTGGATCTAATCAAAGGTTCATAGTCATCCTAAGGCCCTAAGGTAACTATATAGTCCATCAATGAATGCAAATCTTATGTTAGTAGTACCATATAGTCTTACTTTAAAAACCGTTTTAAAAGCATAGTGGGAGTATTATATACTACTAAATCAATCATATGGACCAATAGTTGTAATAGGACCAAAATGTTTTAATTGGATTAAAATGTATGTTTATATGTGATGAGACCTAAAAACCCTCAACCAAATCAATATTAAGTTGATAAGCGAGAGATGCTTTGAATATCTCTTCGTGGCCTTCCACCGTGGTAGGCTCCAATCGTTTGTGACTTGTACACCGGCTTCACCCTATCATGGGGGAGTACAAAGTGCATGCTTACACTCAGGAGGAGTCTATACGCATATGATGAGGTGAGTGTAGGCAACGAGGATGGCTAATATCATATCATTGTGAGGCTATTCTTGAACCCCTTCATGAACTAAGCATGGTGGGAATAACTTAACTAAGTGCAATGGCGCCAATATCATATCATTGTGTGGCAACATTCTCTAGAGGCCAAATAAGATGGGTACTTGCAAGAGATGCAAATGAGTAAGCGTACTCTCTCATTATTATTATTGCTAACCGATATCGTATCATCGTGAGGTGGGCTTGGTAATGGTGAGTCTCCCATACCCTGCTAAGAGTTCAACAAAACTCTCGAATTCCGATGAGG